CTGGAAAAGCTCAGCAGGTCTGGCAGCATCTGTGGGGAAAAAAGATCAGAGTTAATGTTTTGGGTGCAGTGACCCTTCCTCAGAACCTTGAAACATTAACTCTGATTTTATTTTCACAGTTGCTGCTAGACCTGCTGAGCTTTTCCAGTAACTTCTGTTTTTGTTCCTGATTTACAGCATCTGCAGTTCTTTTGGTTTTTATTTCCTATACTCAAAAGACTGAGCAATGAAGGCAAGCGAGCTACATGTCTTTTTAAGAAATTACCATAGATATTACAAAGGATTTACTGCAGTGCTGAACTGTAAATGAAAGGGGTCACATCTTTATAATACCTTTCAGGTCATTCTGAAGCACCATATTGTACTGTACTGGCAGGAAAATGCTTCTAAAATAGAATCACTGTCTTAATATAGTACAATGAAATAGAGATGTCCTTAGCATCAGACAAGCAAAATGGCAACTTGCAACTTTTGCTGGATTGTACAGAATAGAGAGATTGAATGGCTTAAGTCCTCACCTCAATTCCATCTTACAAAGGACGGTCACAGGGATGCATCCAAACCAATATCAGCCATTCACTACAATTCCTTTTAAGATACTTATAGAAAATTGAAGAGGATATAAAAAGAAAGTTACAGTAAAGGAGATCATTCTGTCCCTTGTCTTCATGTTGGTTCTCTAGGAGCTACCCAATCCCTCAATTTTTCCACAATGCCCTCCATTTTATTTAGACGATTATCCAGTTCCCTTGAGAAGATCCTAACTGAACCTGCCATTATCAAAGTCTCCTTGCATTACGTTCAGGTCATAATCAGTTGCTGCGTAAAAGAAATTATTCCCCATGTCCTAATTGTGGGTAACTCCAATACAAACCTGAATCTAGACTGAAACATAACTGTTCAGAATCAATCTCTATCTTAGCTCATCGTCACTGGAAGCTTCATTTAAGCCATTTTTCCCTCTGAACTTAGCTATTCCATCTGCTTCTGCCTCTCTCTCCCGTATTTTACCTTCCACAAATTGAGACAATCAAAATCTTTGCTGCTTGTGATGCAATAAACTTTATGTTCATGACACTTATGATCCCTGGACTGGCTGATATACATTAGCTCCCAGTCAATTAACCTCTTGACTTTCAAATTCTTCCATTATTTTCAAATCCCTGCATAGTCTTGTCCTTCCCTACTTCTGTAATCTCAACCAGCTCTACAACTCTCTAAAATATCTACTTTCCTCTCATTCTGGCTACTTGAGAACACCTGATTTTAATTGCTGTAGAGTTGGTGGTCACAACTTAATTTGTCTAGGATCTAAGCTCTAGAATATAACATTCCACCTTTTACCATGCTTTTCTCCTTTAATGTACTCCTTAAAATCTACCCTTTTACCCAACATTTTGGACATCTCCCCTATTATCTCCTTTTGTGGTTCAGTGTCATATTTTGTCTTGTAATGTTCCGGTGAAATGCTTTGTTCTATTTCATCATATTTAAAGGATGTATACAAATGTAAATGTTAGCTGTTGTGGTCTACTCTGTTTACTGACTCTCAGCCAACTTCATATCTATTCTGCCTATTCATTTTATTTCAATGACTTGCAGTTTTGAGGATAAACCTATTAAGTGACATTTTATCAATCATCTTTGAAACTCCATGTACACCGCATCAAGTACATTACCCTCAACAACCTTCCCTGTACCCTCATCAAAAAATCTCAACATAATCAGTTAAACTTCTTTTAGCCTCCTTCGTTTGAGTCAAAATATGTCCTTAACAAATCCATGCTGACTTTCCTTAACGTGTCCATGCTTCCCCGTGTGACTGTCAATTATTCCTAATTATTATTTGTAAAACTTCCTGATGAATTACACTGATTGGTCAGTAGTTGCTTGGCTTATTCATACATCCTGGATGTTGCATTGGCAATTCATCAGTCATCTGGAACCACCCCTATATCCAAGCAGAATTGGCTTGAGGAATGCTCTTGTCTCTCTAAGAAAATAAAAAAAACTTTCTCTAGTTACCAAGAAGACCAACTAAATACCTTATTTCTATTAAGTTCTAAATGAAAAATCTGTTGACAAGGTTTCTTAATAAACATAATTGTGAGTTTAGTATCAAGTAAAACAAATTTGATAAAGGTGGAGTAATTGGTTAATGTACAGTGTCAGTCTAAATAATCTAAAAACATATACATGAATACCAAAAACATAATGGGTTAGTTTTAAAAGCAAAAGGATAGGGTCTAGAATGTTTGGGAATTTTTTCTTATGACGTTCTGCTACATGTGCCCCAGTCACTAATCGTGTAGTTGTTCTGAAGTCTTGCAGACACAGCTTGCTCAGGAACTACAATCTTGAGATGATCTTTGAATCACTTTTCCAAAACAGCTGTCCTAAATGGTTGCAGTAGTTTTCTTGTCAGAAATGGGACAGATCAGCTAGGCAGCTTGTTGTTAGCAGGGTTCCCTCCCACTGAACTGGATAAACAAGAACCTCTCTAAGCTAGTTCCTTTTCAAAAGATAGCAGGGTACAGCAAAGTAGGCAAACAGGAGGCTGGAAGAACACAGTGAGCCAGGCAGCATCTGGATGAAAGAAGCAGTCAATGTTTCGGGTATTACCCTTCTTCAGGACTTAGCAAAGTAAGCTGTTCTCACCAGTCTTGTGATTTATTCATGTGCAGTTTTGTTGCAAAAATTTCTAATGTCTACAATTAACTTTCAAAGATAACACAGTGTGGAGCTGGAGGAACACAGCAGCCCAGGCAGCATCTGAGGAGCAGGAAAGTTGACGTTTCAGGTCGGGACCCAGAAAACATTCCAGGTATATCCGCAATTTGAAATAAATTCCCTTTTCCATGAGCCTTCAAACTTAAGTCCTCTATGCAATATTAAATATAAGGCATCTCTATAACAATTGAAACATTATAACCAGTGTTTCTACAATTTCCACTCTTACTTCCCTCAATGTCCTCAGATACATCTGATCTAGTCCTAGTACTTATTAACTCAAAGAACAAGCATACTTTCTAACATCTTACTTTTTAACATCTGCAGTGTCTCAGCTAGCTCTTTCTGGACCACAACCTTGGCAGTTTCATCTTCCTTGTTAAAGACAGTTGTGAAGTATGATGTTAGTGTGTTTTCTGACCATGCAACATTCCCTCTTTGTTCCCTAACCAGCCACTTTTCTTTTACACCCCTCTACTAATTATATACCTCTGGAGATTTTTGGATCCTGTTTTCATTGGCTGCTAGCTTTTTCTCAGACTCTATCTTTGCTGTTCTTATTTTATTCAGACAATCTTTGAACCTTCTAAATTCAGCCTGATTCTCACTTCTATTATGGACCTGCCATTTGCCTTTTCTGAAGAAGGGTCTCGGCCCGAAACGTCAGCCTTCCTGCTCCTCTGATGCTGCTTGGCCTGCTGTGTTCATCCAGCTCTACACCTTGTTATCTCATTTGCCATTCACGCCCTTTTTCAGCTTCATCCTTTCTCACATGCAGTGAGTGGAGGCTTTGTTTGTCCCACATTCCTCACTCTTGGGAAAACCCCTTTTATATATTAATACATCTCTTTAAAGGCAATGATTGTTCCATTGCAGTTAAGCTGCTAATCTTTGATTCCAATTTATCTGCATTACATCCATTGTTTCTTAATTAAAATTAGCTCTCCTTTGACTGTTATACATTATTATTTCCTGCCTTTTTCTCCGTAGCTAACCAGAACTTTGTGCCATTGTGACTATATTATTCCATCATGCCCTGCTGTTTGATCCACTTGTGACGCTTCATTCTCTCGAAGCAGATCCTAACATATCTCCTTTCTGGTTAAACTGGAAATATATTGATGCAGAAAAAATTTCTGCCCACGTTTTGGAAAGTCTTTCCCTTCTCTTTTTTTAAAATTACTATCCCAGTGTATATTAGGATAATTAAAGTCCTTATGATAACTAATGCACCTCCCTATAGTTCAGTAAGTCTTATTTTGGGTAAGAATTTAAATGAGTTAAATGAATACACATTTTCTCCTCTGTTTAGTAGAGTTGGTGCTTATCTGTCGAAATACTTCATGGCAAGCTCGAAAAGATTTTAAGTTTCGAAAGGGTTAACATCGCAATTTGACATCGATCTTTGAACTTCTTTATCGGGAAGCCTGTGTAAACATCTTGCGCGGCTGTTTATTCTTTGCCTCCGCGCTGCCGATCTGTTTACTTTAAAAAAAGAACATGCGTCCTTTATCAAAATGGCAGAAAGTGAATTAAAATCAAACTTGGCGCGCTATTTCTTAATGCATTCGGGTTGCTGTGGTGTTCCATGCAATCAAGAAAGTAGCTATCCCATCTTTCAGACTGCCCCTATGTACAAATATTGTTCAAACTAATTTACTGAATAATGCAGGAAAAGAGTCACAAAACCAAGTGGCAACATGAATTACTGTTTAGTACAAAATACAGTACTGTCTCTAATTTATTTTGATGTGACTTCAAAATGCAGTTTTGTTTCAAACAATCCAATCTTCCTAAACGTTCATATTTGCATGTGATTTGTATATTTTGTGTAGCTGGCACTTAATTATTCCTCCTCCATGTATTTTGTATATGGGACAGATTAAGGTCCACTATCGTTTTGAAAATTACACCTTGGAAATATGGATGATAGATTTTGAACCATGACATCTCCAGCGTATGCATTTCCTCCAGTCAGTTCCTTTCGCTGCACTTAAAATGTCAAGGATTTCTTTGTTTCAACAAACGACGTTGTGAACGCGCAAAAGTTTGTAATTTTAAACGTTGACTGTCTCTCTTGTATTTATCGTCCAGAAGAGGCGCTATCCTTTTTAACGAAGGTGGCGTCCCCGATGCTGTTTGATGTAGCCGCGCTGCTCGGCTGGAGTTCATCACATTTTGATTAGTCGATTAGATCAGTGCCAGGAGCGGGGCGGCGGGACGCAAGTTGCGGGATCACGCATCGACGCCCCCCCCCCCACCCACTCCCCCCACTCCCGGCTGCCTCTGCATTGGAGTGAAGGCAAGTCGGACAGCGGAGCTGTCAACGTCGAGTGCTGCGGCAGCTTTCCGGGCGAGGGGTATACTTCACAGTCTTCATCTCATCTGTCACCCTGGCAAAACAAAAACACACACAGCGGGTTCACCAGCACACTTTTTAAAACAAAAAAAATACTCGAACTTAACAAACATTGGGGAAGTGAGGGCTTTGCAAGTGTTCGTGTCACCCGAGCTTCTGTCTAATGCTGAAGCAGACGCCCACTCTTTTAGCGATGCCCGTTAACGGGGATCGGCATGCCAGCAGGCTGGAAGGAGAGAGCCGAAACCGGGAGAAGCCAGAGGCTGACAGCGATCGCTGCCGGACCCGGGACAGGCTGGAAGCGACCCTGGCGGGGCTAGGGGAGCTGGATTTCCTGAAGCACCGGCAGCAGTACTTGGTTCGGGGCGCAATGGAATTGCTGAAACCTGCGGAAGGCGAACAGGGAAAGGGATCTCCAGGAGAACTTTACCTGACCCCTGAGGAAAAGCGATTAGAAGATAACATTCTCATGTTAAGGAAACAGTTGGTGAGAAATTAAAACGGATCTACGCTAAATCAGCTCTAAATATTATAAGTTGTATCAGTGTAATATTCATAATTTTTTTGTAGAAATGAGATTTGCATGACTTTTTGTTTCCAAATGCAATGTCCTCAATTTTCATTGATCATTTTATTGCTACACTTTGTATTATGGCTTGTGACATCCGGAGACAGGGACAAAGTAAGGATTGTATTTTAACTTCTGTCAAAAAAAAATAGCCTGTCCGATTCAGAAATCATTTAACTTCCGTCCGCGTGAGGGATCTCACTCGTTTTCCTATTTACTTTGACCGACCTTCCTGCCACTTGGCTTGATGTCTGTTATATGTACAGCGCATTGTTTTTTTTGCTGATTCAGGAACTATAGGCTTCAGTTAGTGAACAGTGGGGCGAGCTGAATCAAATCGCTTTTGTAATGGATTACCAATCGAACGATGCGATATCGTATCTAAGGTGTAAGATAGGGGGAGCTGGTCGTTAATGGCAAATGCAGCTGCTGCATTTTACAACCTTAAGTGAGTTCGATCAGAGGTCTTTGAATGGCAGAGAGGAAGGAGACGTGACTTTTTAACCAAAAAAAATGCAGTAAAGTAACTTCCTGCTAACAAAATAACAACAAAAAATACTAATCTCTTCTTCGGAGGAGGTCCAGCTGCATGTTTTAAAGCCCTTGGTCTGTTACAATAGCTACAAGAGTGACTGAAATTAACTTTACAAGCGAACCTTAGCTCTCCCGCAGAGCTGGGGGATGGACCCACTGTTTATATGAAGCGATCAGCTGACTGAAATGAATCATTCAGAGTGTTTTTCTGTACAGTGTTTCTGCACCAAGTGCAGAACAATAGATCTGGGCTATAACCTAACAATACGGAGTAATTAATCACACACCCATGTCCCCAGATTACTATTCCAGCTGTTGATAAAATCGAGCTGTTATTCGAGAGTTGTTGAGCCTGCAGTTTTAGGGTTCGTAAAGCAACCTCGACGTTTTACAGCAAAACAGGGACCACCCTCCCACTTCAGGCAATGGCTCAGTTTTTCTTTCTGTAAGCGTTTATTTCCAGCTCATCGGCAAGCGATTGGATCCCACGGCTCGTTAACGCTTTTTAAAGTGAGTTTAATTCGATCATATTTAATACCGTAGACATGAGCTCAAAAATGATCCGCTTGCCCATTGCCAATGCTGAATCCTGAGATCATCAATCACATTGAACTTTCTGTCACGCCAGATTCACAAGGGATCGAGACATTACGGTGGAGGTCTGAGCATGTGCGTTGCTCATTTTTAAAAAATACCTTGTTTTAAAATATAAAATCTCCTATTGATATTGCCTCTGGAATATTTACATAACAAAGCTTTGTCTTAAACCCGGAACAGTCACCGTTAGCTATTATCTCCCATATTCTTGTAGGTAAATTACTCACCGAGGCGGCAAATTGCCAAAAAAAACGTTCTACAAAGAATTTCAACTGTGTCTTGACTTAAATAACCCTAAAAAAAAGTATTTTCATTTTACTTAGTGGTTGCTTTTATTGGAGGGGAAAAAAAACTGCATTCAGTAATTCTCCTGTGGGACTGCAACAACGTTATTACAATTTTCAGAAAAAAATCTTTAAGAACCCAGTTTTAATCCAATCAGCCTGTGATTTTATATATCCGAATAGATGCAGCAGTATTAAACAAAATAGAACTTGGCTGATGTAATCAAAATGGAACTAGTTCAGAATTTAAGGTTGTGTTAAATCAGACCTGAATTCTGTCATTTTAATAGGAAGCACATTTGTAGTTTCGCGTGTGCCTGGAATGGTGGAAGTCAGAGACAGGTTCATGTGACACAGTCAATGAATAGAATCAGCAGTGTTTCTTGGCATTCTGTGGAAACTGTGGCACGGCTGAACTTTCCGAATGGGAATGTCGTCACACTGCAGAGAATTTGCAGTTGATTAAAATGTGTCCCTGTTCAATCTTTTCAGAACTGTTTGAGGAGGAGAGATGCTGGCCTCATAAATCAGCTGCAGGAGCTGGATCGACAGATCAGTGACCTTCAGCTGGACGTAGAAAAGGCTTCAAATGACAACTTAGAAACAGACAGTCGACCAAGCTCAGGTCAGTATGCTGTTGACAGTCAGATATAGATTCTGTAGGAGGATTCATCTGAATAGAAACTGTAATTACTTGCTAAACCTTTGGAATACTAAATGTCCTTTTCATTTCTCAAATTTGTTTACCGGTATATAAGGTGATGTTGCTTTAAAAATCTAAGATCCAGAATCAGCCAATCGTATTCTCTGAATAGAAATGTTTTACTGCTGCCTTTTTTTTCTGTGTAAGCGGACTTCAAAGGCTTAAAACTCAGAGAGCTAATATCCTGTATAAGGGTATTAGGGTGGGAGGAGATGGTGACAGTAGTAATGTCACTGTACTTCAGATGTCCAGCCTAGTTGTCTGGGAACATATGTTCAAATCCCAGCTGATGGAGTTGTCTCAGGAATGGTGACCATGAAACTCCAATCTGCTTCACTAATGTTCTTTAGAGATGGAAATTTGAAATCTTCACCCAGTCTGACCTACACATGACTCCAAAGCCACAGCAACGTGTTTTGACTCTTAACTGCCTTCTTAAATGCCCTAGCAAGCCAAGCATAATTAGGGATGTTCTGCAAATGCTGGTTTTGGCTGTGATACCTGCACTCCATATAAGTATAAAGAAAAAAAAACATCTGTGAAGGACTTGTTGATTATTTTAAAATTCATTTTAGCAAAATATTTTGCATTACTCGAATATTTATGAACTGTATACATTGACATTGGTTTTCTCTAAAGAAAATGCACGTTTGCATGTAACACTTTCACGTTATCAGAAAATCCAATTGACACAGAATCACTTTGATTGTCACTATTGTTGTAAGGAAGACATAACACAAGGTCCCACAAACATCAATGAGAAAAAAGACCAGTAATTCTGTTTTGGAGTGTTAGCTGGGGGCTCAAGGTAAACTTGCAGGTTGAGTCAGTAGTCAGGAAGGCAAATGCAATGTTGGCATTTATTTTGAGAAGACTTGAGTATAAAAGCGGGGATGTATTACTGAGGCTTTATAAGGCCCTGGTCAGGTCACATTTGGAGTATTGTGTGCAGTTTTGGGCCCCATATCTCAGGAAGGATGTACTGGCCCTGAAGTGGGTTCAGAGGAGATTCACGCAAATGGTCCCAGAAATGAGAAGCTTAACATATGAGGAACGTTTGAGGACTCTGCGACTATACCCATTGGAGTTTAGAAAGATGAGGGGGAATCTAATTGAAACTTACAGAATACTGATTGGCCTAGACAGAGCAGATGGTGGGAAGATGCTTCCATTGGTAAGAGAGACTAGGACCCGAGGGCACAGCCATAGAGTAAAAGGAAGACCTTTTAGAACGGAGTTAGGAGAAACTACTTCAGCGGAGAGTGGTGAATGTGTGGAATTCACTGCCACAGAAGGCTGTGGAGGCCAGATCATTGAGTACATTTAAGACTGAGATTGACAGGTTCTTGATTATCAAGGGGACCAAGGGTTACGGGGAGAAAGTGGGAGAATGGGGTTGAGGAACTCATCAGCCATAATTGAATGGCAGAGCAGACTTGATGGGCCAAATGGCCTAATTTCTGCTCCTGTGTCTTATAGTCTTATGGTCTTATGGTCTAAATGTTGGCCTGGGCACCAAGAGACCTTCTTGCTCATTTTCAAGCAATGTCATTTTTTACAACTTCTAAGGGAGCCTCATAACATCTGATCTAAAAGACTGCAATTCTAATGATGGAATCCTCTCATAGTGTTGCACTAAATTGACTGAATTGCTACTAAACATTATGTGCTCAAGTCCTGGAGTGGGGCTCCTTTTCTCCCTTCAGTTTTAATACGGTAGACCACCTTTTTTAAAAGTTTATTTGAGTTTCCCATTGGCTCAACTGTAGAGATCCATGTGTTGCTAATCATCCAAAGTTAGATGTCATGAAGATCCCACATTTGGTCTTTGGTGGATGTTCATTAACTGATTACTGAGAGTTGTTATGAAGGGATTTCTGTTGGTGACGGAAAACCTGTGGCAAGGAAAATCTGGTCAGCTTTTTCTGATCCTGTTCACTGTCATGCTGACAAAGTGACAGGCGTTGATGTCAAATGAGGACATGCAAGGCTTGGTTGTCACTCTCCCGTGTTCATAAAGTCTATTGACACTTATTGTCATGGTTCAGAACTGAAGAATAGTCACATGGTTGAGGTATTAATGATTTGCTATTACCCCGTGGAACTATATCCGAGCATGTTTCAGTCACTTCAGGAGAATAGGAAATAAGCTGTGGGAGGTTGTGGAAATGTTATAGTAGATGGAAAAATAACTATGCAGATTTATGTGATGAAAACTATACGATGAAAGCATATTTTGAATTTATTTAGTTTGCTTTAAAGATTAAAACTCCTTTTGACAAAAAAAATTATTAGAAGTAAATGTATGTAGTTTGAAAGTGCCAAGATTTGGGTAAAGTAAAGAAGATATCAATTGGTAAACAAGGAAGCATTTAACAAATATAGAGAGGATGTAGCCTTTTAGATTTTCTTTCTTTGCCATTTTCAGTAATCTTAAATGTTAAACTAAAGCTCATTGCCACATAAGGAGATCATTCCACCAATTATGACAGTGATGGCTCTTTGCTAGAACAAGGCAAAAATAAACCCATTGTAGTCTTGTCCTCATATCCCTGTATTTTTCCTCTGCTTCAGTAAATATTTAGAATTCCCTAAAAGATGAAATTGTTTTTGCCTGAATGACCCACTATGACAAAGTTTGCTATATAACAACTCGCAATTAAAGCATTTTTCCATTTCCTTTCCTCAATCTCTCAACGACCATTTTAAATTAAAGACCTTTGTCTGTAACTCCCTGACCAGATGATGTTGTCTTTGCTAATTCACCCATTACTCTTTAGAAGTACCGTTTAGCCTTCTCTGCTTCAGTGGGAATTGTCCTGACATCTCAAGTCTGAATTACACTTGCAACCCAAAGAAAATCCAGATTCATGTTTCCGGAACTGTAGTATGTTCAGCTTTAATGGGAAGAAATTTAAAGGCAGGGACTGTTTTCAAGCCATTTTATCTTTTGCTAATATGGTCTCTTGCATGTGCTAATCTATAATTGCTTTAGATTTATTTTTCAAAAATCCTCTATGGATATCGAGTTTAATCCAAATGACAGTTTTTGTATGTCATTGGGTCAATTTAAAACCTAGTGACTTTGATAAATGTTGGTCAGTGACCTTGTATTTTGGAATTGTCAACCTGCTTTCTGTGTTAACAGGTTTTTATGAATTGAGTGATGGGACATCTGGATCACTTTCGAATTCCTCTAATTCTGTTTTCAGTGAATGTCTATCCAGTCACTCTAGCACCTGCTCCTGTGGCCCACCAGATGCATCACTGATCATCACAGATGGGCGACCAAAATCAACAGGTAAGAGGCACATCTGAAGAATTTAAGCTGAACTAATGAGAGCAATGTGATTGAAAATCTGTCACTGGTTTTATAATCTGATTAGGTACAACAGAAATAGAGTCGATTGTGTCCTTGTCAGTGTAAAAATCTCCTCCTTGATACGTCTTATGCTGATCAACAGTTCATTGTCAAGTACTCATTTTGCCAAAAGATTGTCACATTGGTTGATGGGCTTTTAGAAAGAAAATCAAAACTCTTGGATTAATCCATTTTTTCGAGATATTATTTGATGCAGATATGTGTTTGGGGAAAATATGTTAATTTTTGATTCCCATCAATTAATTGGACATTAAATGCCCAATTGTAGGGCTCTTGTTGTATAGCGGTAATGTCCCTACTTCTGAGTCAGAAGGCCTGGGTTCAAATTCCACCTGTTCTGGAGATGCATTGCAGCATATCCAAACAGATTGATTAAAATAATTAAATACTGAATTGCCAGCACTTTAAATTAGCAATGGAGATTTACATACCCTCAAAGATCAGAAATTGAACATTTGACTGCCAAATAGGGCAGGTGGTTTTGTCTAAGTTGTTCATTTAAGTCCCGAGTCTTTGGGTGAATAAATCAAGGAGAAACTGCTCTAACCATTGTTTGGAACAGTCTGCTTGTTGTCTTGTGGGGGTGCAAAGGTAAAACAATCCCTGTAATTAATGCTGTTTCAGAATAAACAAAGATTTGGAATTAAGGAAAATAATTGTGTTTATAATGGAAGCCTATAACCATTACAAGAACTTGGACTGGATTTAACATTCTGATCGTGGCTCCTGTTGGAAAGGCCAGAAGTGATGCATGTTTATGGGTCATAGCATCTGCTGAACCTGATCACTCGATGTCCGGCCAATTAGTATGGGTGATGTGGGGTTATTACAAAATTACGCAGTTGGGGTGGCATTAATGTTGGAAAACTCACATCACTTGATAGCCATGCAGCAGTGATTTACAGGGTGACCAGCCCAGCATTTGAAGGTAGATTCTTTCTTTTGGCTTTGAATGCAAGCAGTGCACTTTAACAAGGGCACGTTGTGTGACTTCCTCAGGTGCAGACCTAGTTTGTTTTGAGAATAGCTGCAAATCCCATGGAGAGTTAAGCTTGGTTTTCCTCATCCATATGAAATTTTGTGAAGTTGCCCCTGAACAATGAATTAAGGACCCCTTTGATGAAGCAATGCTGACTACCTGGGAATTTGTGCACAGGTTTCTGGTTGAGCCTGGAAGGAACCAGTGGCCTCAGAATTATGCACTGCTGTAACTTTTAAGGTCTGTCATAAGTTTATTGCCATTGTCCCTCAGGTGAAGGTGAGCCTACATGAGGGTCTATAGCTCTGTGATTCTTCTGTAGGAGAAGTGAAGTCACACTGGCTGTGAGGCATTGGCAGGTAGGTCAAGTGTTGCAAACATGTGATTTTTAAGGCTTGGCCCTCTGACTGCTGAAGGCAGTCCCTGAGACAGGCTGTGTTCCCACACAACTTAAGCCAGTCCCTTGGTGCTTCAGTTCTCTGGGTGAGAATACAATGTTAGGCTAAATGTCGATGTATGTGACACCAACTCAGGCATATACCCTTATGACTTGCCAGGTTTAATTGTGTAGGTTTCTCTAACCAAATGGGGTTTTCATGCACTTAAGAACATATAACTAAATGTGGCAAATTCTAATTCAAATGACTTTAACAGGCTTATTAATAGAGTAATTACCCTTCCAGGCACAAACGGGTTAGTTGCCCAAATTGGCAACATTCACTGCCAGCTTTATTACAGGAAGTTTTTCTAGTGTGAGCATGTTGACAGGAAAGTTCCCAGGGAATTAATTGTCCCTGGTTGACAAGTCCGCATCGTGATATTCTGGATTTAGTTCTGACCCCGGTCACGGAAAGATCGCCCTAATTATCTTTTGATATGTAGTTATGATAAGACAATGTCTAAATGGAGTAAGAGGCATCCTGCACCAGTCTAGGTGCAGAAACTATGTGCAAAATTCAAGTCTATGTTCAAACTTGAAAATGAATAATCAAAACTCAAATATCATACAAAATACTGCATATAATTCTGGTCTCCCAGCTATAGGAAGGATGTTGCCAGGGTTGGAGGGTTTGAGCTATAGGGAGAGGTTGGATAGGCTGGGGCTGTTTTCCCTGGAGCATCGGAGGCAGAGGGGTGACTTTATAGAGGTTTGTAAAATCATGAGGGGCGTGGATGGGGTAAATAGACAAGGTTTTATCTGCAGGCTGGGGGAGTCCTAAACTAGAGGGCAAAGGTTTAAGTTGAGAGAGGAAACATTTAAAATGGACCTAAGGGGCAATTTTTTCACACAGAGAGTGGTGCATGGAATGAGCTGCTAGAGGAAGTGATGGAGGCTGGTGCAATTACAACATTTAAAAGGCATATGGGTGGGTATATGAATAGGAAGGGTTTAGAGGAAATGGGCCAAACACTGGCAAATGGGACTAGATTAATATAGGGTATCTGGTCAGCATGGATGAGTTGGACCGAAGGGTCTTGTTCCATGCTGTACAGCTCTGTGACTCTATAACAGTACAGAAGGCACATAATACCTTATTATATGACTTTTTTCATAATTTGTAAATGGTTTTTATTTTAAAAAAAGGTACAAACTAAAATGCTACTAACTTTCAAACTTCTTTATATCTTCTAACATGGATTGTGTATCACAGCTTGGTAGGTTTTTCACTGCTAGCTTATTTGTAAAAGAAAAAAAACCTGCAAACTGTGTAAGCTCCCATGGATGAGAGGAACCTTGAATCGAGGCCTTTGAATCTGGTACCTAGATGATGATATTTTTAAGCCATGTAAATATGCAGGATAATATCTATCATATAAAAACTACTTTTCATTCTAAAAATGGGTCTAAGCTGAAGTAGTACATCTCACACTGTAATGTAGTAATAAGCTGCATAGCTGTACAATATTGTTCAATCTCTGGTTTCTGGTTAGTTTATGAGATGATTCCTTAAATAGTTGAATTGTTTATTACCATTCTCTGTCCAGCCTACCATACGAGAATGGGAAGCTCATTAAGGTACTGAAAGTCACTGGCATCTTGATGCCACTATCAACACCCTCAGGAGAAAGAAAATGAATAAAGCAGAGCAAATTATTGAAGTAAACTGCAATGAATATTTTGTCATGTGTTGCAAATAGTTCCCCAACGGTGAAAGCAGCAGACAAAGGGTCACTGGCCTCGAAATATTAACTCTGTTTTTGTCTCTCCACAGATGCTGCCAGACCTGCTGAGTTTCTCCAGCACTTACTGTTTTTGTTGTAAGATTTCCAGCATACGCAGTCATTTGTTTTATTTTAGTGAAAGCAGCAGTACTGCTGTATTATTGATGTATTCAGCATAGGACCTCTCTTAGCTTTAAACGTATGAAGCTGTAAGTTCTTTGTTTTTGCTTTTAAGACAATATTTGGCTGTACTTATCAGATTTCTGTTACCTGGATCCAATGCTAGTATTTTTATAAAATGACGGAATCAATCCAGCGTCTCCAATATGTATGAATTGAAGTGGTTGCTTCTTAGCAAGAAATGGAACACCAGCTTCTTGATAGATTCTTCACTGCCAGTCTGTTTGTTTAAAAAAAAAAATGCAAAATATGTAAGCTCCCAAAATTCCAAGAAACTAAAGACTCTCAAGAACACTTGTTGGATTAAATAGGAATAGAATTCTGACTGCTATTTTCTTATTCACAGAGGATTTCATTGGCTGGAGGGACCATGGAGAGGGTCTGCTTGACTGTCAGTACCCGGGTATTGTTCGCCGCTCCTTCTCCGCACCGTATTCTAGCTCAGTTGACGTCGCTGCTGACATCCATCCCAAGTATCAATGTGACTTGATTTCCAAGAACGGTAGTGATGTATATCGATATCCAAGTCCTCTACATGCAGTTGCAGTCCAGAGTCCAATGTTTTTTCATCCTACAGCTGGAAGGGTTAAAGAGGAGGAGAAGACCCAGTATGACATAGCTGACCTGTCAGTGGCACCTCAGTTGGAGACTGTAAACATTGAGCCTGCTGTTCCAGCCTCTCAGAACAGTTCCTGCCCAGCTGTACACCCTTCAGCAACTAAAAGACTCGATAATTACATATTTGGTCTTATTCAGAAGAAAATCCAGCTAGTCAGGCCAAATAAGCCGAGAACAAGCCTGAATACAGATCCGTTAAAGGGAATCTTGAAGCAAGGTAGTATCTGTGTCAGACAAATTGCTTGTATCTCACCATGTACTAATGAACTGAAAGTGTTCAGGAATGTCTATACAAATCCTCCCATATCCAACACTTCAGAAAACAGTGTAACATCACCACAGAGGCAACTTCTGAACAATGACAATGCACAAGACAACAAAAATACGCAACTATGTAAAATTGAATCAACAAATAATCGAATAACTTTTAATCAGGATAGTATTAATGAATTGCAGACTAGTAGCCTCTCAAAGAAGAGGACTAATGTGGCAAATGGACTACCTAAATGCACTGTGCCTGTAGATTGTCAAGAAGGGAATAGTGAAGGTGGCTCTTGCACACCAAAAGATATTTCATATCAGTGTGTGACAGTACATGAAGAGACCAGTGTTGTACAACCTCCTAAAGTGGTGTCTCCTAAAAAACTCACAAGGCCACCTCCAATGTCTCCCACTATGGAAGAGAAGCCATCACTTGATGTCAGGAGTGAAGGGTCCTCCGTGCAGAGCTTAGAGGATAGTGGGCAGTTAGTGAATGCCCAGTTCATCCCAGCACAGCAGCAAGTGGTAAAACCCCGTAAAGGTACTAAAAATATAAAGATTGTCAAAGTTAAGAATACTACTTTGAAATCCAGAGCAAACTGTGACGTGGCTGCTGAAACAAACGTTCAAGCCTTAAAACAAAAACCCAAAGCTGTTGCAAAAAAATGCCATTTTTCCAACGATGTTGTCCATGTAAAGCGAAATGTAAGGAGGCCGACTTCCAGAGCAAAGAATGGAGTTTATACGCTATCTGAGAACAGCATCCTGGGTAGACAGGCTGGGGCTAGACCTGCTAAATGTAGCAGGCAAGGAAGAGAAGTTGTTCTGGTCAAATCCAGATACAAACAAAGGGTTGATTACCGAAAGTGGAGACCCCCTGTTGAAGTTTCTCATGAAGAAGCGATGAGACGATTTAGAAGACGCAGTAGGAGAGAAGCACTCTGTCATATGCCTGGTGTGTATGCAAAGACCAATTTGCCGAATAATGGTGTTTGTGCCCTCAGAGGAAGTGATTCGGAATACTCTGCTGAGTGTGAATCATTATTCCACTCCACCGTCGCAGATACTAGTGAGGATGAGCAGAGCAATTACACCACCAATTGCTTTGGAGACAGTGAATCTAGTTTGAGTGAGGTGGACTTTGTAGGGGAAACGACTAGTTCTAGTGACTCTGATGAGAATGGTGCCGTAGTCTGGCCTCAGTTTAGCCAGTCTCATCCTGTGCAAGTATCTACTTCTGAGTTAAAGAAGCCTCCGCCAAAGGCTTTTGTTAAAATCAAAGCATCACACAACCTAAAGAAGAAAATTCTCCGTTTCAGATCTGGATCTCTCAAGTTAATGACAACTGTTTAAAAGAATGTCTGATATTTGTTGTGTTAAAAATGAAGGTGATATTGGTTCTTATTTTGATTTGTAAATTGTAAGATGGGTATTTTAAAAGTTTTTTTCTGTCAGAACTAAGCATGTAAGAAGTTTTTAAACTATCAGTATTTTACGTGCATGATTATTTGTTTCAATATTGGCACCATATTGTACACTGCTAACTGTATATAGTACTTGTATATTAATACAATTTGTTTAATGCAATAATAAATTGTCTACCTTAAATCTTTAAAACGTTTTGAAATTTGGCTTCAATTTTTATCTTCACATGATGGCCCTAGTGTGTTGTAGCTTGCAGTCAGGGAGAAATGAAAATGCAAGATAGTGATGTAGTTTATTAAAGCATGTCAGAAACAGTGTATTTAAATTATGAATAATATCTATAAGATGGCTAAATAATTCTCACATTCGCTAATGCACGGCAGAGCAGAAAATTCATTATTGGTCTCATTGGCACCAATTTATCATGAATGTAATTAATGTAACCAGCAGAAAGAAATCACACAGAAACAGGAAATTTCACCCTGCAAATTGGCGTTGATCTTTCTCCCTGAATAAGTCACCCAATTTGTTACCAATGTCATGTTATGGAATGACAGGATATTGCAATGATGATAAAAGAGTTACATTTAATCCCTCATCTGTACAAGGCTTTAGTTAGAGTCGTACAGCACAGAAACAGACCCTTCTCATCTGCACCAACCAGACATCACAATCTGACCTAGTCCCATTTGGCCTATATCCTTCAAAATTCTTCCTATTCATATGTCCATCCAGATGCCTTTTAAATGTTGTAATTGTACTCGCTTCCGTGAAAAATATAGCAAACAAATAAATGGGCCCGAGTTTCACTTTAAAAATAAGTGTCTGTTGCTAAGTGGACTATTAAATATGGAGTTGAAATCTAAAATGTTCCCTTGTTTGAGCTGATCTAAGCCCAAGTACAACAATACAGATGCAATTAACTTGAAAGTTCCAGTGTGCTAGAGTCAAGTAAAATCAACTGAGTTTCCTGCTCTTGACCAATATTTGGTTTCTTCCACTGATGTAAAGCCAGTCATCAATTAATTGGGGGACTACCACACCGAGGACATGGACAAAATTTGAGTGAGATAATGAAGGCAGTTGGTGTCCAAAGATGAATGAGTGTATATTTTCAGGAGGAAAGGGAAAGACTATAATTATTTGTAAAAAAAAAAAAATTTGAATAAAAATCAGTCTCTTTGCTATTTACTCACCTCATCCAACACCTGATCCAGCCTAGCTCTCTCACACTCTACTGACTTGTCCACTACTCAACTCACTCACATATCCATCTAACCCACCTACCGACTTGACTCACTTTTCCACTTGCTTCACTCACCTTCTCACTCTGTCACTCCACCCATTCATGCATTAATCCACTCCCTTGCTAATATTGAAACTGGACCTTGGAACAGACAGTGGCCAGTGCAATAAAAAGCGGGTGCATCCCTTTTCCTCCCCTGACCCCCTCAAATCCACTTTGCTTTGAAAGAGTTCTCTAAGGAGTACTACACCCCACATTTCTGGAAATATACAGGCTTGGACGGTTGTAGAAGAAATGCAGAGCACCAGTGAGTTGGGGACATTTTATGTGGAGTGGCAATCCGATGATGATTGCCCCTCAGAAAATTTAGATTAATGTCTCATGAAGTTAAGAAAAACAGGCGCAGAAATAGGCCAAATGCTGGCCAAATAACTTTGATCTAGAACTTTGATCTCAATTCCATTTTCCTGCCTGATTTCCACATATTTTGATTTCCTCATGCCCAACATGTTTGATGATCTTTCCTACCGTGTGAGGGAACAAGATTTAGTTCAATTTTCGACAAACGTACAGGCTATGGAATTGGAATTTTTTTATGCCATTTACATTTTTATATCTTGCTTTTCGAATCTTGTCATTTTATCACCGATCACATTAAGTTCCTCACACGAAGCCTCTGTGATCCCACCTGAGGTGAGATGGAATAGTAGGTGTGAAGACCAGAAATTTAAATTGTGTGGTTATCATTTTAGTGGGAATAGCAACTTGAAAGCAGGGGAAAAACAGCAGTTGAGGCCGAATGTCATCATGTCACTTTAACTTCAATCTTCTCTTCCTCTGTGTGCTCTATGAAGTGCTGCTTGAAATGATTTCCCCACTATTCATGTAGAAATGCTGGCAGTGGGGCCAGTGGAGTGGAAGCTGAGTCCCTACGTGTTTCCACTATGTCTGTTATCAATAATTTCTGGGTCTATCAATTGGAAGGTAGTGATAGCCTTTAGGTACTGGCTATAGTGATCTAATACTGCATCCAAATTTATCTCTTGTTTCTTTCATATCATCTCTTGCTGATGCTCATCTTGTCTACAAGACAAGTTGCTATTCCGATTAAAATGATAACTAGCCGACTTAAATTTCTAGTCTTCATACCTACTAATTAGTTGCGTCTCCTCAAAGACTATTCCTCTTCTTTTCAAATCTACCACCATCAATCCTTTCTCATAGAAATACTTTTGAACCCTCAGTTCTTGCAAACTACAATTTAGCTTTAAGCTCTATTTCCGTTCCAAAGTCCTTGAATATATCGGCACTTCCTCAGTTAATACTTATGATTTCCACAAGACCAAGTTTGAATGATCTGGTCTTGCTTCTAGCCTTGCCACAGTACTTTACACAGTCACAAACAAATCCTCTGTGATTGTGACCATGTTGCACTAACCCACTTTATTCTTAACCTGTGTGCAGATGTTGACATTGCCTCCTTCAAGTCTCCTTCTTTGTTGTCCACCTAAGTTGGCTGCCTTCACCTTGCTTCTACTCTTATCCTACCAAGTTGTAATCAGAGAATATTTTGCAATGGCTTCCCCTTCCTCCTCTACACTATTTCCTCTGGAGTTTCACAAGAATCTAATGTTGGCCATCTCCTACATGTCATCAGCATGCATGGCTTTATCATAAAAAAAGAGGATCATGTAGGATCAGGTTCTGCATGTATACTGACAACATCTTGTTCTACTTCCAGTGCCTCCTTCAAGAAGTTATTTATGAGACATTTTGTGGAAAAGTGAAACAAATCAACAAAATATGTGAATTTTAGGTAAGGATCTTTCATGGATTTTGTAAACCTTGAAATTGCCAACGACACTTAAGCAATAGTTTTAGGGAAATGTTTGAGATGAAATTGGATTGAACTAGATTTGTTACTGACTAGTGTGGCTAAAACATTTGCAATAAGAGAAAAGATTTTAACAATATCAAAAATAGGTACAGAAACATTTGTATAGAAACTTTTGTGATTTTTATTTTAAACACACTGTATAGTATTGAGCTCAAACACTTTGGGTTGAATCTTACAGGATTTTGGCTAAGTGCGAATTATGTAGAGTTTGGGCGAGTGATTCCTGCAGCAAGGCTGCACAGGTTTCCTCTCCGTATCCTACCAAACTCTCTGCATTAATTGGCATTGCAGCCTTTGTGACATCTCGCATGTCCCATTTCTGTTCTATGTTACCATGTACCATTCCCAGAGCAACTCCCCATCACCAAAAATCCCCATAACTGGCCAGCATCGCCAGGGCCTGCCCCATCTTCAAAGGGCCACTGTGTGCCTGGACAAGCAGTGTCAGTGCAGAGCTGCCCTGCATGGTTCCTGACATTTGCCCTGGACATGGCAGATAGGGTGAATGGCTGCTTTTGCGGGCATGGTCCTGGAGCACCTGCTGAACGGAGAGGTGCACAGACAGGACTTCCTCTTCTCCCAGGACATGCAATAGGGACAATGACCCTAGACCATGTCAGCCTAGTGCAAGGTTGCCACCTTGGAGAAAATGGAGAAAGCAGTCTCAGCCACCTGGAGGAATGCCCAGCTCTGTAGCCAAAGGCCAATGTTCTTCTCTGTTTTGCCAGTGTAAGCACCAGTATCTTCTCTCCAATACAAGAGTGTTACATTAGCATTTTTCCAATCCACTGGAGACTTTACATGTCTAGGGAATTTTGGAATATTATAACCAATTGATATCTCTGATGCCACTTCCTTTGAGACCCTAGAAGGTCAACAATCGGGCTCTGGGAATTGTCTGCTTTCAATCCCAATAGTTTGCTCAGTACTTTTCCCGAGTGATGGTTGTTCTAAGTACCTCCTTTTCTATAACCTCTGCATTAACTGTTACTATTGGGATGACACCAGTGTACTCCACAATGAAAACTGAAGCAAAATATTGATTTTTCCCTCACTCACCCTCACCCACCCCAGTTCCTGATCCAGTAACCCTGCATTGTGTCTGCACCGCCTAAGCCAGACAGTGATGCCCACATCCCACAAATGCATAGAAAAAAAATTGCTAGCACAGTGCGAGGTGTACCATTGAAGTGACATATAAGTGGACTAGAGATGTGCATGAGTGTTCCTAGAGATTGGTACATGTTGAATGCCTATGTCTGTACATGTGGGGTGCATTGGCTAGTGCCCATGGAACACACCCAAGATGTTAACCCAGTGTCTGACATGGAGGTCTTTTGGAGTAAGTGGCAAGTTGAAGATGCCAAGACCTTCTTTGGTCTCCACGTTGAGTATTCCCGAAGGTTAGTTTGTCTAGTGATTTTGGTAAGATTGCAACCCATTGTGAATTGGCTGTTAACAAGCTATTTAACAAGTAATAATTGGAAATTGCTGCTACCTAGTGCAAATCTCACTGCACTGCTTGAGAAAGACAAACAAAATGCAGCAAGATAATCTTGATGTTGAGATGGTAACATCTCATCCAATTCTATCACTCATCCCATCACAGCTCATGTCACTCACAGTCTGATAAAATTCTACACTTTACTGTGAAGACATCATCAGTGAAGCAGTTCTTTGTAGAATTTGTTGCAGATAGATATAAAACTCAGATTCAAGAATTTTAAAATATTCTAATATTTTAACATTACTTCTTTATTCTACATTAGATAAAATATTTTTGTGAGCAGTTTCACAACATGGTTTATATCCTTTGGGTGAAATCAACAGGGTCAAAAAGCAGGGATGATAACATCATTGCTTTTGAATTGGTAAAGTTTTTAAACCAAGTGATTATGATGTTACAAGCATAATTAGTTGATTAGTGTCAAAAACTCTGAACGTACTTATGTCATATATTCTAT